TTTACAAAACGGTATTTATTTATTAATAAATTTAACCGTTCAGAGACATTAAATTAATATAATGTTAGAGAATGAAGGCGGTGATTTTAATGTAATGTATTATTATGATTCCTCGTACTGGTAGGAAAGGCAACTGAAAAAGTGAGAATCCTAATCTTGTGGTTGTAGGGTTGATCTGAAACAGTGGACAATAAAGGCCGAAGCCGAAGGGCATTAGGTTGGTAGGCTAGCTATGTGGCCTTAGTCCACACTCAAGTCTAGTTGGGCCGAGGTCCACGTACTCCATAATTTTTTTTTTCCTTACTATTTTCAGATGTGATCACATGGAGTAGAAACCATTCCTCTAATTTCACAAAGAAAAAAAAAAAAAAAAGGGAAAACAAACCATTCCTCTATAATATGCATTTTTTCTTTTAATGAACCAAGTAAAATTATATGATATATGCATTTATATGTCCTGCCGGCATCTCTATATGTATGTAACTCTTGGCAACATTATATATAACAACACAAAAAAAAAAAAAAATTATATAAATAGAGTAATGCTAATTAATTTTTTTCTTTGGTATTTATGATAAGTTGTACCTAGCCAATTTTAGCACACTTCAAGATTAATCTCTTTTTGAGTAATCTTAGTAGTGTATTTAGTTTAAGAAAAATAGAGGAAAGGAGAGGGAAATGGAATAATATAACATCCTTCTATTTCTTTCCTTTCCCCTCCTTTCATTTGCAAAAATAAAATAAAGAATTCCCTTCCCCTCCAAATTTTTTGCTAATAAGAGGAATTTTTACTCCTCCCATCCCCCGAACTAAACATACCGTAAGGGTTTGTTTTGCATAAAAATTAGTAAAGGGAAAAGAAGGAGAGGGAGGAGAAGTGAAGGGAAGAGAAAAGTTGATATTAATCTTGTTTAAATAGATGAAAGTAGAGGAGAGGAAAACAAAATATTTTTATGTAATTAAAATTTTTTTTAAATATACAATAAAATATTTGGAGGGAAAAAAAAAACAAAGGACTGGAGGAGGCTTATCACCCCTCCATCTCCCTCCCTCTCCATAAGAAAAACAAAGTAAGGGAGACATCTGCCTCTCACTCTCCTCTCTCCCTCCAAATCTATCAATCCAAACAAAGAGGAAGGGTGCATCTCTACATTGGCTTGTTGCACTTAAAAAAATTAATTTTTTTAAGTATTAACCCTAGGATTCGACTCTTAATCCTTATTTATAAAACAATACTTTCTTACCAATAAATATAATACTTAGAGTTACCATGCTAATTAATTAATGTTTTGGTTTAGATTGCTGAGAGGACCCATCCTTGGATGAAGTTGGTTTGACCAGCCATGCATTTCGGAACATATTAACCTTCAGCCTGAACATAGTGATGGTACCTGATGCCACAAGAAAATCTAATTAGTTTAATAAAATATTCCACTTCATATTTCATGATGAACTTTTTCATCAAATTGTACACAAATTTTAAAGTACCCCAGTTGTAAGACAGGTTCAGTATCACAGTCCATAGAGTTGGGGTAATTTGGATGGATAGGGAAGTTGCTACTTCCAGCTGCTGCACCAGAACTCCATAAGCCTTGGATTGTTCTGAAACTATGTCCTTCTGCATTCAGCTGGAATGGAAAACTCAAAACATATAGAAGGAAGAAAACAATATTGAGTAATTACAGTCACACATATTTGAAGATTTTAAACCGTGAATTTCATTGCTTTTTAAGATCGCCAAGCTGACGCTCCTGACAAAGAATGTTAGGAAATATTATAATCACTTTTAAAATCAAAACTTAGTTATAATAATTTTGAATGTGACATAGTTATAGTACAATTAAGTACTCCCTCAAATAATATCTTTCTTCCTCAACAATGTAGCTTAATTACCTTTTGCCGAAGTTGTGCCATTTATTCTATCATAATCTGTGTCTGCAGTGAAGAATAGATACTTAACATGCATGAAGCAAAATGATAATAAAACTAGTGTACTATTATACATCGATTTTCCTAATTAAGGCATGGGGCTAAATGCTAGTGATATACCTTCCTTTGTCTGGTCAATGCAAGAGCTCCCTCAAGTTGTTTCTCAAGATTTTGCAGCTCTTTCACACCAAGTCCCCCAAGATCTTCTCCAAGCAAATGCCTGAATATATATATAGAGCATATAAATTAGTTAAAAGTACAAACAATAAAAAGGAAAGCTGAATTAATCCAACCTAAATATGCATGACATAGAGCCACAATATAACATTTGAGTAAGTTGCAGAGTTTTGTATTTAGCCTTTAATTTAGTAATCTCCTCACACTTGTTCTGCAACTGATAATATATTAGAGACAAAACTTGGTGGGGAAAGAAAAAACCACCAAATTATTGAATTCTAAAAGGCCTTGATCACTTTGCTAGGGGCAAAATATGTAAAAAGAAGATGATCGATATATCTTTCAATTCAACATACCAATTAACATTGATCTATTTAGTTAACTATTAAAATCTGTAACTTTAAAATTTTCAATCTTTAATTCAAAATTTAAAATAATAAATTCTTAACAAATATGTTATGAAATGTATTAAATTAGAGAGTGTACCAATTATTGTCTAATTATTTTTTCATGGTCACTAAAAAAGGGTAATTAATGGTACTCAACATGAGCATGCTTGTCCAACTCACGAAATATGCAAATTAGCTAGGCTGCTAATAAGTGCAGAAGTTTGTGCGGGAAATTAAGTTCTGGTTCAGAAATACCTATGTTTCAGGTTCCCTGCTGTTGTCTTGAGAAGTGAAGCTGCAATGTTGGTACCGTTCCAGGGTTTTGGTTATGCAGCAATATCAAATTAAATACATGTGTATACCAACCATTTCCCTCCAATAAATGGAAAACAACCACTCTAAGCTAAAGTCAATCAGCTGATTGAATATCTATATGTTTGTGATGAGCTTTAATTGCATCAAGCGGCTTAATTAAGTAAAGCATACATGCAAGAGCAATTAATTTAGATAAATTATTTAGTCCAAAGGTTGAACCTTTTGATCTGATTTTTAGGAGAATTTAAACAAGAGAAAATACAAACGCAAAGGAATTTCAAGTACACAATCTGCATTTTCAACACTTGAACATGATTTTGTTTTCATCCCCTACTTTTTTGTATCCAAATTTCTTTCCTTAATTGTTTAAAAAGAATATTTTGCCAATTATAAAATTTTCAATTAGAAGTACAATCTTGGCCTAAATATATAATTAGAATTACCATCAATTTTCTCTATTTCAGTTCAAACTGATAAACTTTTTCTTGCAATATTTTCTATATTTTTGCTTCATTTATGCCTTATTGACAAAAATGGTTCCTAGAATTTTAACTACCTGAAACAAATAAGGAATGGTGTTGAAAAAAAATAAACAAATTTCTTACTCCAACTGCTTTGCTGCCTTAGATTCACCCACCTTACCTTAGATTACCAGTTCAAATTTCAAGGGACAAATCAGAAAAAATAGGATAGGAGATTTTTTTTCTAAAAACTTTTTTATATAACTTTTATATATAATTAAATAAATAAAGGTCCTCAATATCATCAATTTTAAATAAATAAATAAAAACCTAAACATTTAACTTAAAAATGATACAAAAAAAATTATCCTTAAATTATTTTTCAAAAATATACTACTACTCTTGTCATTTATGATTTATCTCAAGATGTGCGATATCCTGATGAAGAATTCATTACAATGCAGTGTTATAAATGCTGATAAAAAAAAAAAAAATACAGTATTATAAATTTGAGAGATATGATGGACAGGTCTAATTAAGACTGTACGTTTCTTTTGAAAAAGAAAGGGGCAAAATCAGAGTAAGAGAGCAATATAAAGATCTAACGCTGCTAAAATTATCAAAGAAAAAACAAAAATAAGTACATGAATGAACAATATAAAAATTGGGCCATAGAGGAATTTACCTAAAGATTAAAACTTCAGAAATATTATGAAATTAAATTTTTGATATTTTGTTTAGAAACGCAGCTGCCGAATATGTGCAAGAAGCACTCATAACACCAGATGATAAACAACAGAAGATTTGAACAAAAGCATCATTCTGTGAACTGTCTTTTTTTACCAATGAGTGCAAAATTTTCCCTAGAGAGAGAAAACACAAAATACAAAAAAGGAAAAGAAAAATTCTAGATCTTGGTATCTTGCACTGAGGTTTCTAGGAATAACATACTAAGAACTAAGTTGATTGGACTTTGTAGAAAACCGTATATCGAAGTTTGGGTCTTTCAGCTTTCAGGTCAC